TTTTTCATAAATCCTCAATTTCACCTGGTGCTTTCAGAAGTTTACTATATACTATAAGGATAGGGGGCATATCTAATAAATATCATCTACTAAATACTAGCTTCCCCCTTGACATTGACATTTTCTGAATGTTATTTCCTCCAAAGTGCACTGCTGGCTCAAACTAAGTAACTTTCTACCCTTTTACGTAGGTTTTTTTTTTTTTTTTTTTTTTTGCCTTTTCTTCTCTCCTTTCAAGGGCCCCGACTCTGTGGTCTTTACATTTCTATGATCACTTTTTATTCTGTCTTTTATCATTTGCAGAAGCAGTAACAGAGGTGTGTGTGTGTGTGTGTGTGTGTGTGTGTGTGTGCGTGTGAGTATGTGAGCACTAGTGTTATTTCATGTTCAAGGTACTAGTAATTGAGAATCTACACTTCATATAGACACTTTCAACTCCTCCCCTCTCCTAGACTGTCACCTTGCTCCTGAAATGCTGTCTAGCTGTGTTGTCTACTCCTCACAATCACAATATTCAATGTGTTTTCTTGACCCTCATTATTCTTGACCAGTTAGGGGTGCCTCAAAATTGAACCTGTTTCTATTTCCCAAATTTTCTCCTTATCATTGTTCCCCATCATTGCAGATTCCTTCCTCATTTCTCCCAGAAACCTAAAACTTCTCCATCAAATTTCCTTTTTTATACTGCTGTTTATACCTCAGTCACTCACACCTTTCCTTGACATTCTCAGGAAAGGCAACATACAAGATAGCAGACTGCACTCATTTCTTTATGGCTTTTTGTGTAAGTGGACTTTCCAGATCCTCCTTTATCTAAAAGAGAAATTTTATTTTTTCTAAAAAGGAAGACTCTCTAAAACTCTTCTATAAATTATTTGCTTTGTAATTTTCTGTTCTTCCATTTCATTTCACATATTTCATATTTGTGAGACTTCAGCTTTCAGTCTATACTCTGTCATTCTTGTTCTTTTTTTGTTTGAATTAGGCCATTCACTTGTAATGTTTACCATCATCTCTATTTACTAAAATTCTATTAGTGATCTCAAAATTTTGTAAAGATGCTACATTTTCATATATTCCCATAAAAGAAAATTTATTTCTTCTGTGGACTTCTCTAATTTCAATGTGTATATCTTCTTCTTTTGTAGTTACTACTATCTCATATTGTTCTTTATTGTAGTGATTTATAAATTTAATTTAATGCACTTCTTAGATTTTAAGTTCTTAAAAGACAGTTATGATGAAGATAAAAACTGCAATAATAATCTCTAATAACAAGTTCTTACCATATTCTAGCATGGTACATTACTAACACAGCATTATATGGACTGTCCAATCTTTTTTTTTTTAATATGATTAAGTGAAGTATTCAAGTGAAACTCTTAAAGAGAATCGGAGTCAAGGATTGGATTTAGACAGTCTGGTTTTAAAGGCTTTATTTTTAACCCACTATGTCCTATTTCTCATTTTCAGAATTGGCGGATAATCACTGAATAAAACATGTTCCTCTTAGGCTGGGGAAATGACTGGGTGAGCAAAGTACCTGCTATACAAATGTGAGAATCTGAGTTCAGTTCTGCAGACCCTTGTAAAGCCAAGTATAGTAGTACACATTAGAACTGTAGCACTCTTACATGGAGAATAGAGGAAAAGACAGCCTCCATGTACAGGCTTGGCTGGTATACACAGGAACAAACAATAAAGAAATCAAACAGGGTGGAAGGTATGTCCTGGCCCTTCAGGTCATTCTCTGATCTTCACATGTGCACTCACACTCATGCACACAAACGTACATGTACACATATAAAACACAGAGAAGTTTGAAAAAGTCCTAACAGGTTAGGACAGTTTACTAGATTACCTAGTTTCTGAAACTACTTGGATAATACATTTGTAAAGAAGAAAGCAACAGCTAAGACCTCCACTCTTAAAGGATGAGAAAACAGGGTAAAGCTTGTATACCTCAAAACTAAACAGAACATAAAATGGAAAGAAAAAGAAAAGATCCAATTCACCTGGATTAGGTAACAGCATACCTTTTGTCTCCTTGGAACTGTCAAGTCCAATGAGGCAATGTATCAAGGCCATCCAAAAGCCTTGCTTAGATAATTTAAACTGCATTTAGACAAAGCCTCCAGTATTTCTAGTTTCCAAGGCTTTGACATCAGTGCTGTCAAAGTATGGTAACTATATTTTGTTGACAGAGTCAAAATCAATGTAAACTTGGGGTTCAGCTTTACCTATGGACTTGTAAAATTATATATGATATGCACAAATATTGATATGAAGAAAATGGTAGTTGTTGCTTTCTACATGTAAGCAGCTAAGAACTATAATCGTCTGAGAGAAGTGTCACTATATAGCCCAAATCCCACCCAACAAATACCTGTAGAGCAGAGATGTCTATATAACAAAACTCCTTTCAAGCTTTGGTTGACAGCTCACATATTTCAAGCAATATTTGATGTGAGACTTGGAGTTCACAGTAATGGGAATTGACCTGTATTTCCAAAGGTAAGATTTGAATGATTTCATCTCTAACCACGACACCATGAATTTGAGTGATATACTACCCAAACCCATGAGTACAAAAACTAAACACAAAGGCAGAAATGAAACCACCAGTGCTCTTAAAGGGAAAAATCCCTTCCTTTCATTTGGGGAACACTTAGCCAAGAAAATGAAGCCATGAAATGGAGCAGATGGTGCTGTTTTTGATCTCATTGTATTGAGAGACGAAATAGTGAAGTGACTGAAGACTGATGAATAGCAGTCAGATATATACTTCTTGTGGGGGAAACTAGGCTACATTTCTTAATGTTTTTGAGCCTCAGTATCCGCATCTGTACACTGTGATTTATACTATATATCTTCAAGATTTTGGTAAAAGATAAATGAAACAGAAATAAAGCTCTTACTAGAGGACCTGAAATACTGTATATACCCCCCTGAAGTTCCCTTATTTGGCTTCCCTTCCTCTTTAAGAGCTTGGGCTTCTGCAAACTACTTTCATGAAATTATTTAGAAGACCCGGTGAACAGAAATTAACTAACTAACTAACTAACTATATATATATATATATATATATATATATATATATATATATATAGAGAGAGAGAGAGAGAGAGAGAGAGTCTCAAACTTAGTCTGAGTAAGGTATGAATGGAACATGTACGGAAAAGACAGAGGAAATGGTAGCAAAACTAAGCCTTGACTGGGAAAAAGGTATTTTGGGCCAATGTGAGGAACATATACTCAAAAGATATAAAGCAATCAACCAGGCATCATAATAAATAAGTTCTGATTATTTTGCCAGAAGCCATTTTGAAAAATACCAATAAATCCAATTTCAGTGTTCCATTTTCCTGGGCGAGAAAGAAATGTGCATGCTGTTATAGCTAAGTTTTCTTGGGGTACTACTTTAGGAGATGGGAAGGATCCTAATTAGAAAACTATTTAGTTGATAACCATGCATTATACTTTGTTTCTGAAGTAGGATACTATTATAGTTTTAAAATGAACTATTTTTTTTGTGTAGAAAATATCTAAATATTCATGAAGGTCTCTAATATAATCCTGATTTCTGAGGTTTTATATTTTACTGATTCTAGATCTGAGTTCCTACTTTTTAAATTATAGGCAATCAGATTTGTAGACACAAAATTCTAGTTTCTTTAACAGCTGTAGTGTTACATGGAATCTTTGAAAAAACAAAAAACAAAAAACCGAGTTTATTAACAAAATTTGAAGGCAAGTCTGTCGACCTTTATAAAGTGAGTATTTGCTATGGGCTTTTAAATTCCTTTTAAAAGCTCCCGAAAGCTCAACAGACCTTAGCACCATAGAGAACAGGAGATGGCCAAGCACTTCACAGAATTACAGAATGTTGGCCTTAACATTTTCTTACTCGTCTATTTTCAAAAGGCTCAAAGAAAAGTGTAAGACAAGGTTCATGTGCCTAATTAAACAGCACGTATAAGCCAGGCAATGAGCTGCCTCTTACAAGATGCATATAAAAATAAAACAGGCTAGAAAGACAGCAAAGCAGAGAAAAAGGAAGTGGGTTATCCACAGAAGACAGAGAGGCCCTGAGAGGAGAGACCAAAAAGGATCAACATCACTAAATAAGAAGGTTAAAATAGAGACAGAAACCAAGCAGTAGCAGCAGAGGAGGTATTTTAAATATAGTCTATATAGAGCTTACAATGTAGAACTCAAGAACTCAAGAACACAGAAGCATCAACCTAGTAAAATTCTTGGCCTCCATTTAATAATTGTAACCTCCACCCCATCACCATTCTCTTAAAATGGAGGCAGTAATAAACACCAGACTTTTCTGTTTAATTTATCTCTTTTAAGGGTGTAAGTCTTGAGTATCTCTGAAGATGTTAACTATCTCATATCATTTTGGCATTACCCCTGGCTCCAGCAGGCACAGTTCTCCTAATGATCCCTATTGGCCCCCAAGAATGGATATCCATCCTCAAAGGGAAGCCTTTATCCCACCAGTGGCATCACACTAACAGTATGCAAGTCATTTCAAGGTCTACAGTCTATAGGAAGTGTAATATATTTGTAATTACACGAGTAACCATGGGAAGGTAGCACAGACAGAGTTAGCTCCTGAAAACACAAGGCTGAGAAACATTGTTGCTTACAGAGTCATCAACCCCACCCAGAGGCCACCCTGCTTAGAAAGTGACCTCATAGGAGCAATCAGGTGACCATAAAAAGCTGGGCAGCATTCCTGCCCTCCTTCTAGAGTCCCACCTGTCCCAGCAGGCGGGAGTTCTGGGAGGAGCCCTGAGGCACAGTCAGAATACCAGGGCTGCCAGCACCAGCTGCTCTTATACTGCTTTCCCTTCCTCTTTGTCACCCTCCCTCCTGCAGATGGAAGGCTCTGGGAGCTCTGGCCAGTCCAGGGATGCCCACCCCAGCCACTAAGCCCACCCTGACACCTGAGTGGCCCCTACCCCCCATGTGCCACATGCATTCTGTACCTTTACTCTGGGGAGGGTTCTGACTCCGGTCCCGGAGGACGTTGATCTGGTAGACAGCTCCATAAGGCTCAAAAAGTTCTTTCAGCTCCTTTTCTGACCAGGATCTAGGGATCTGTCCGACAAACATCTTAATGGCATCTGGGTCTGGTTGGTCTGAATGATCCAAAGCTCCGTTCATCTTGTTGGCTGTGCCGTTACTGTCAAAAACGGAACCAGGAGCCAGAGTTAGGGCTTCAGGGTGAAGGACAGGAAGAAAAAATAGTGGGGGTTGGGGGTGAGGAGGCGGAAAGAGGAAGAGGAGCACAGGGGAAAGTGCCTAATGACTCGTAGAAATTTGATGAACTAAAACAAAGCAGAGGCACCATTAGGTTGCTTCTCAGCAGCAGCGCGATGCTTTCACTGCATGCTGCTGTTGTTCAGCATTGACTCCCAAGCACAGGGCAGTGCCTGGCCCCGTCACCCGGGGTATAGACATCTCAGAACCCAAGCTTGAGAAGCAGTTGCAAGTTAAGTGCAGGTCTCAATTGGCAAGGCTGCCATCAACACATCACAAATCGGCAGCATTATCAGCACTGCACTGGTTATCGCTAGGAAAGAAAGGCAGAGCTGGATTTCTGCTGGATTTCTCACCCTCTCCCCTTTCCCCGCCCTTTTTCAGAGGTTTTGGAAGAGAGGAGAGAGGTGGTAATAATAAAGTCACATGGAAGGAAAATGAAACACTTGGCAGTCCATCAGATGACTAATGCAAGATGCTGGTGATGAATTTGCAGAGTGCTAGAGGCATCCATGTGTGCATCAAATTAGTACGTTGTTGCTGCTTAGAAAGGAAAGTGCTCCAGCTATGCAGCTCGGTGCAGCTGATTGGCTGCCTGCTTTGGAGGAAAGGGCCAGAGCTTTGAGGGGGGGCTCCCCTTTAAAAAGCACATTGTTTATGGGACCCAAGCACAAAGGACTTAATTCAGAGAAGCAAAAGTGATCTCAGAATTGCTTGCTTTGTGTTGGAGAAAAAATACAACACAGAAAGTTGAGTTCCCACTAAAGGACACTGAATATTTTAAATCTTTCACACTCCATAAATTGCTCTCTGTATATCTGACTTCCAGATGTTGCACTTAAGTTCTAAACAATCACACTTTTGGGAAAGGAAAAAAAAAGTCTGCCTTTTTTTCTCCTAGCTTCAGTAAATATTTGGGGCGGCTACAAAGAACTAAAGCATAAGCTTTTATGTCTTTCTTCCTATCATTTTCCAGACCCACATTTGGGAAAGAATACTTGTTTCAAGCCTGACATGGTGAAGAAGTCATTCCTTTTTACCTTAGACAACCCCTTTGTACTAGAATAACAATGCAAACCAAACACCCCCCTCCTTTCTTTTATAACCCCCAACCAGCACACTGTATATCCCAGCTCCTTTCTTAAGAAGACTAAATGCTTCGGAATGTGTCCATTTGTAGCAGAGTACTGGTGGTCCAGTTCCTCAGTATGTGAAAATATAAAGCACCTGAACAAGTGCAAAGCCAGTAGCAGCCCAGTATCTGCAGCCTTACAGGTGACTCTTGTTCTACATAAGAAGGACATCAAGAAGATACACAACTATAAATGGCAAATGTAGGCTCATTGTAGCCTCAGAAAATACCCAAAAAAAGTACTGGAAAAAGATCTTAACAGAGTTTCTTATTTTATGGCAACCCCCCAAAACAAACAAACAAAAAACAAAACAAAAAAAACCCATCACCACCAACACCACCAACAACAAAAAACAAAAAACAATCCCCCTCAAAAAAACAAAATACATACAAATAAAAAAATAATACTCTAAACTGGGCAATGATAGCACCAGCCTTTAATTTTTGCACTTGGGAGACAGAGGCAGTCCTATCTTGTGAGTTCCAGGCCAGCCTAGTCTACAAAGTTACACAGAGAATCCCAGTCTCAAAGAAGAAACAAACAAACAAAACAAAACAAAACACCACTCTTAAAGCTGCTATGGGTCTAGGCTCACTAGATCTGAGCCCTTAAACAAATAAACACACAATCAAAAACTGGCATGCCTGTATTCTTTAGCATGGCAATACACACACACACACACACACACACACACACACACACACACACACACACACACACACACACACAACCTACTCTACCTAAAAGCCAAAGTTTTGTAGAACGGAGAAACTTCATTTCAGATTTAATCCAGAGAGGGAATGGTGTCATATACTTTTACTATGTTTTGCTTCAATTTCCACTACCTCTACCTCTCTATTTTACTACTTTGTATTTTTTTTAAATCTTTGAAGTAAACAGTGTCTAACTTGAAGCATTTTTCAGATCATTTTCTAATCAACCTTATTGTTATTAAAATGTTCTACTGAATAAAATATTGAGTACAAGATCTTTTTTCAACAATTTAGGTATAATGCAACGCTTGTTTATATTAGAGCTAGATCATTTATCTTGTTCTCATGCACTTTTCCTTATTTTCCATCACCAAGAATTCAATAAACAGTTTAACCTGTGGAGCTGTGAATACACAGGCTGGAGGTGGCATTATTCTTTGCAGTAGAGGATACAGTGTTTATAGCACTCTGAAAGCTGAACGTGTGGCAGGACTCACTTTTGGCACAGGAAGGGCTCGTGGTTAGTGCTGTTGACAACCAGCTAGATGAAAAGAGGAAGGTATTGCTACAGGTCTAAGCTAACAGAAAGCAGAAGTTGGACCATAATATAGTGTAAGAGTTAGGTCACAGTATACTTGACTAATATCTAAACTTCGAATTCTGGAGTAAGCACATGTTAACTTACAGATCTCCAATAACATTCCTTTTATGCTTTCCCAAGTAACAGAAACTCACTGAGTCAAGAACAGAGGAAAGCTGAAGAGAGGGATGAAGGTTTATTCCTTTGGTGTTTATATAGTAGAAAGTGCTTATTTAGAATCTCTCCCAGTCAGTTATTCCTCCTGGACACCTGGAGATGTCTTATCATTCAAAGGGCAGGCAGAGTAGGAGAAAAATGTGTGGCCTCTGTATTCTGACAGCATTGCTTTCTAACTGTGCTACTTTGAGCTTCTGATTCGTCATTTATAAAATGGCAACAAGAGATTCTGCCCCATAGAGTCATATGACCCAAAATAAGTGTTCTATAAATGTCTGCTATTATTACTATGTGCATTTCCTTTTCATAACTGAAATGAGTGACCACCATACATCTATTTTTCAATTAAAACTTTTTTTGGTATAAATCCAAACACGACTCATAGTCTTAGTAATAATAGTATCTTACATAAATCAATATTACGTTGTGTATTTCACATTTTTTGTTCATTGGTTTTGGGGCTGTTTCAAACAATCTCACTATTTAGACCTGCCTGGTTGGTCTGAACTGGCTATACAGAACAGCCTGGTCTTGAACTCACAGATACCAACTTGCCTCTGCCTAGCAAGAACTACAATTACATGGATGAACCACAACATCTGGCAGTGCTTTACATTTTTAATCCTCAAGACAATCCTATGAGAAACTAGTATTCTTCAAATGCCAATATCTGAGAAATACATTCTGTTCCTAAGGTTATCAGATTATAAACTATCCAAATCTATGCCTCCTGGGCTCAAAAGTGCAAAGTATTTTTAATCCACCATGTGGCCAAACATTCTGTACAGTCTGGCTTGAGTAGAGTGCAGACAGCTCCTAACAAATCAAGAGGAAGGCAAATTCCAGAGCAAGTCCTACAGGGTCTCTAGAATCACACTCCCAAATAAAAGCAATATTGGAATAAATTTACACACACGGTTCTTCTTTCTATCTGTGAAAAACAAGCTGCTAGCGCTCAACTTATGAGCCCATAAGGCTTCTTAGAACACTCTTATCTTCTCAGTCATCACATAAGATCCCTATTTGTTCACATCCCTTCTACTCTATTCCCACAGAGTCACTTTGATGAGTAGCTGTCACATATCCTTATTTACATACTTTCTTGTTTGTCATTTTGAAAATTACTATTTATATCCATTGTGAAATGTACAACAATTCTAGTATAAATTAAAACCACTACCAAAAATTCTGAGTCAAAATTTTTATTTTGTTCATATTACAGTGACTCTCCTATTGTTACTTCATTTTGATGTATCTAACAAGTTTGTTAAATTTGTTTTAATACATCTACACTTTTCCTTTGGACTCCGAATCTTTTGTCTTGGCTGAAGTTCATTTCTCTTGGCAATCTGGTGACTTCTGTTCTCATGGGCTGTAGGCATTGATGCTTCTGAGTAAGCCAAAGATTATATGTTAATTATGTTTAAAGTTAAGCTTTTGGGAATTCCCTGACAGATGTCATAGATAGCCAAGATAGCCAAGGTATTCTTCAAGGACAATTAATATACCCCAATCTCAGCAAAACCATCTACTGAGAGCTTTGGAAAAAAAAAAGATTTTAATTGACTTAGAAAATTAGGACTAGCTTGCTTTTCTTCACTCCATACCTTCCTTGGAATCCAGTGTAATGCCTTTTTATAGTGCAGAAATTTAGAATTCAAATCCAAATACATTTACAGAGGGCCTATCCTCTGCCAGAAACCTTTGCTAAGTAATTGTCATACAATATCACAATAGTTCCAATTGGAATCACCTTCATTTTAGAAATGAAGCAAATGAGAGCCACAGGGGTAATGTGTCTTTTCCTATGTAACAGTCATAAGGAATCATAACAGCAAAATAGTGGGTACAGTAAGACTTAAACGCCAGTTGTCTCCCCTACTTGCTCCATGAACTGGACTTCTTTGGAGAAACCCTGAGGCAGTGTTTCACACGGACTCTGACCACTTGCAGATCTTGAATAAAGACATACATCTATAGGCATCTTGCCTAAGAATTTCAACATGATCCTGAATAGCAATTCTAGATTTACCCTTGGCAAAGAACCTACTCTAAGACTCCTCCAGGACAGGTGCCAAATGGAATGGGACCATAAGTCAAGAGCATGGAGCCAGGGGACATTGTTGGTATGAGTCTTAGAGCCAAGATGAAAACCCAATGATATTGGGAGGGTGGTGACAGTGCTTACATTTTGCTTTTAGCACTGCACTGACCTACTCACCTACTCTATTTCTAGTAAGAAGAAATCAGATCAACAGAAAATATGTTCCTCTGAGAAACCAGAATAGCATTAAAATTAAGTGGTTTATAAAACCTTAAA